ATAAAGTATGTATATATACACATTCACAACCCTTGTTTTGTTCGTCAGTTATATTCGTGTAGTATGTCGAATTTTCATATTGGTAGCGACATTAATTGAGTTTCTTTCAAAAATTGTTTCGTGTGTATTTGTTCTGTGGCGTCAAAACTAATTTCTATATACTAAACGCGGACTGTGATTGATTACAGCCCCTGAGAAACGGCAGCGTGTTCCATCAGCATATAATCGTTTCATAAAGTAAGTGCACAACTTCCATAATTTCGCGTTCGATCGTATAAAACATGATAAGCGCGTGTTTCATAGTATAAAATAACAGTAACGTTATACGTATTTCCTGTAACATTTGACAGAGAGGAAATTCAGAGGATAAAGGCTAGCAATCCACAAATTAGTCACCGGGAAGCCTTTAGCGCTGCTGCGAAAAATGTAAGCATATTAATGCCGGGAAAAATTCAAAATTAGTCCCACAGGTATAGGGGGGTGACATTTTTGGTCCCAACGGAATCCAGAAAATATTAATAGTCCCGCAGCTTTTAAAAAATGATCAAAAGTAGGACTTTTTTCAATTTTCTGACCCGGAATGCCACGTGGCCACATTCATCTGACGTGGCGAGTACAATGGCAAGGAAAAAAAATCAAAACTAGTCCCACAGGTTTTGGGAGGTGACATTTTTTGTCCCAAAAAAATCCATAAAATCTTAAATAGTCCCGCCACGTGTGTGCCACGTGGCATATCGGGCCGGAAAATTGAAAAAAGTCCTACTTTTGATTATTTTTTAAAAGCTGCAGGACTATTAATATTTTTTGAATTCCGTTGGGACAAAAAATGTCACCCCCCTATACCTGTGGGACTAGTTTTGAAATTTTCCCTATTAATGCCACTATATATTGTGTGTGCTATGTAGATAAGTATTCATGACATTATTAATTATATAAGATACTATACACTACAAAAAAATCATTATATTCCAACGAAAAATCCTATGGTAATATATTTCAATGAAAATACCAACGGATATTCCAATGGTGATTCCAACGGCTATATTTCCAACGGCTTTTTACTGTAGGAATTTCCGTTGGAATATGCAATTTTCGTTGGAATTTTTATTTTCACCCTGTTGGAAAATCCACCGTTGGAATCGTCAAAATCCAACGAAAATTCCAATGGAAAGCTCATTCCAACGGAATAATTCTGTTGGAATTTCCGTTGGAATCCATTGAAAAATTCCAACGAAAATAATAGTATTGAAATATCCGTTGGAATTGTCGTTGGAATCGTTCTATTATAATAAATTTCCGTTGGAATTTCATTATTTTCTTGTAGTGATAAAACAGTATAAAAATTGAGAATGTGTACTTAATAATAATAATAATAATAATAATAATGTATTGTATTGTGTTGATTATGCAGTGGGCACATTTTCCTCATATTCATTTTGGACTAAAGGTAGATGCCAACAAACAAGCTAAGCCATAATGCAGATGGTGGAGGAGAAGCTATAATTAAGGGACTCACAAGTCTCTTGGATTCTACTGATGAGCTTCTTTTATTATATTATATATATATATATATATATATATATATATATTGTTATTAATAATAATCTATTGGAATTTATAATTAAGATCCCTTATATATGTTTTAGACATGATGAAAAAAGAAAAAGAGGGAGTCAAAACAAGCGTGGGTGCATGCAGTTTGGTTGAAATAAGTTGTTTTGAATATTGTTTGTTATCTTTGTAATTACTTATTGTGATTGTTTGCTGCCCTTGAGTTGATTTGATTTGATTTGATGAGGGGCTTGAATTCTTAAGTGTGTGTTTCTTTTATTTCTTGGTATGTGTTGATACATAAATAAATACTCTTGTAATAGAATATGACAAATTAAACTAATGTTGTGCTAAGAAAAAATAAATAAATATATATGGGGTGGATCCAATGAGTCCATTCCTTAAAATGAATATGTGAGACTCAATCTTAACCACTCATTTTTGTTTAGATCAAAATCAATTAAAATATACATTAATTAAATAATAAAATAATTAATAGTTAACTCCGGCGTTGACCGTTGACTTCCGGTGTTGATCGTTGACTTCCGGCGTTGGATTCCGGCAAAAATCGTTGATTTCCGGTGTTGACCATTGACTTCCGGCGTTGACCGTTGACCCGTTGACCGCTAGTATGCATTATGTATGAAGTAACATGCATAGAGTATCATGCATTTAATATGAACTAAATATGCGTGGGGTATGAATTGCACATGCGGTCCTTATAGACTAAATATGCACCAATAATATCAACTAAGTATGCACCTGTTATTAACTAAATATGCATATGTTATGAACTAAATATGCATCATGAATGAACTAAATATGCAGCGAAAAATATGCAATAAAATGTACATTTTATATAGGTAATTTATGATGCATATTTAATTAGCTAATTTATTATGCATATTTAGGTAATTTATGATGCGTATTTAGTTAATACGAAATGCATACTTGTTATATTTAAATTAAATATATAATGATGTTTATACAGTTAATTTATGATGCATATTTAGTTAATTCATGATACATATTTAGTTTTACGAAATGCATATTTAGTTCTTTAACGTGCATACCTATTTTACTTGAGATCTAATCATAACAATTTATTTGTGTTACTAATCAATTTAAAATTAAAATTAATTATATAATAAAAATCATTAATTATTATATTTAATTTAATTGTATAAAAAAGATATATTTTATTGTATATTTTCGTTGCATATTTAGTTCATTCCTGAAGCATATTTAGAGTAAAATGTGCATATTTAGTACATAAACAGGGCATACATAGTTGATATTATTGGTGCATATTTAGTTCATAAGGATGACATATATAATTCATATCTTATGCATCTTTAGTTCATATTAAGTGCATAGTACTGTATGCATATTACTTCATACATAATGCATACTAGCGGTCAACGGGTCAACGAAAAAAGTCAACGGTCAACGTCGAAATCAACGTCGGAAGTCAATGGTCAACGCTGAAAGTCAACGATTTTTACCGGAGTTAACGGTCAACGCCGAAGTCAATTGTCAATTGTCAAAATAATATTTAAATAATTAAAATAATAAAAATAAAGAATTGAGTAATAAAAATAAAAAAATATTATTTAAATGAAGAGTTAAATCTTGGCCGCACATCATGTACCAATCTAGTGGCTAGGAATGAGTCTCACATGCACACTTTAAATATGTGGACTCATTGGATCCAATCTATATATATATATATATATATATATATATATATATATATATATATATTTCCCGTTACATATAATTTTGGAATTCGCTGAGCCTACGTGGTTGCTTCTGGTGCTTCGAAATCCTACTTGGCAAAGAATCATGCTTCGTAATTAGGTTTGGACAAATAATATTGATATATTAATAATTAATTAATAATCTAGGTTCGGACATTTCATAAATATTATTTAGTTAAGTTAGGTATTTTAATATCACTTGTACTATTATAACCCTTTAACTATTTGTAATTTTACATAGTGAGGCACTAAGTGACTAATATATCTCTGACTTTTGATTTGTTTCCTTCAATTAGCTATTGAATTATAAATATATTTTAAAAATAATAACTTTTTTACTTCTTATCCCTTTTACATATATAATATATCAACTTAATCATCTTTTCATGATCTTCGATTTGACATCCATATTGTATATATAATATAAATTATATTTATCTTTATAATAATAATAAATAATAATATTTATTAAAATTTATTAGAAAAATAAAATTATTTCTCAGTCGATATATTTTGTTTAATGTAATTATATGTTGTAAGTTAAAAAAATTATTATAATATAACACAAGTAATAACACAAATAAAAAGTATCATACTAAATATATAATAAAATATATTTTTATAAAAGGTATTTAAATTTTCAACTAATTTTTCTCATTAATTTTAGATTTTAAGGAAAAAATTAGCAAGCACCGCATAATACACGGGCGTTGTACTATTATATATATATATTATCAAATATAGTAGCAAAAAAAATAAGTCATAACTAAATGCTGCTCATAAATAGTAAGTTTTATTATTTTTTAATATTTTTCTTTAATAAATCATACAACATTAAATGTTGCCTTAAATTTTGAAATTTAATTCATTTATCATTTAAAATTTTCGGTAAGATCTATTAAGTGTGCATATTTTTATTTTGTTTTTTCTTAGAAACAACGAACAACATTAAAATCTCAGTCTCTATATCTACAAAACCTCAATTCAAAAAGTAACAAATGTTTTAGAATATTTGTCTTTTATTTGAGCATTTAAAAAAATATGGAACGCTAAAAATATTCTTTAAATTGCATAATCAATAAATTAATCTTAATTTTTTGAAAATTACTATATTTATTTTTTATTAATATGAATAATGTAAAAATAATTAATTCAACTTTAGATATGTAATTTGTAATCTTAATATACTATCATTTGGCGTAGACATTTATTATATGAATCATAAAATATTTTTATTTCATAAAATTAAATATATTTAACGAAAATAAGTAAATTATTTTGGATCAATAACATGATTGAATTAGGGTATTGTCCAGGTTGAATCAATTACTTTTAGGTGGTATTTAAAATAGCCAAAAAAATTAACACAACTTGGTCGGTTCAAGGTGACTAAGTATGTATCAGTTTGACCAGACCAAATCGATTATCGAACCTAAATATAAATTTTGTTACTGGAAATGCTTTATTACCTGAATGTGATATAATCCAAACTTCAAATTATTATATTAACAATACTTTTATGACAACATGTTTAATGATTTATGAATATTTATATATCATTTTATTAATATTTATGTGAATAAAATAATATTTTATTATAATTTTATTAATGTACAGTAATAAAGTTTTCAGAACTGGACTGTCATCGAAACGATCAAGTTATTTTATTTAATCATTTGTGGTTTGTTCATCATTGAATATATAAACATTTTGATATATATATAGTACTTTTTGTAATAAATATAAATAAAATGTGTTACTTAAATATCTAAACAATTTATAAATTCAAATATTTAAAGTAATTGATAAATAATTTATAATCTCTATTTTATTTAAATATGTAATTTATTTAAAATAATTTTTTTGAACTAAGTTAAAATAATTTTAAATGTAACAAAATTTATTTAGAAAATCATATCGATCCAACCAGTCCAATCGACTGTTGTTGGCGAATTCAATAGCAAAATATTTTATTCAAACCAATTAGATTGTTTATAAACTGGTTCTCGGTCCATCTGGTTGAATGTGTCTAACCTAGTTTAATTTAAAAACAATAGATAAATCATAATTAATATTATATATATTTAATGATATTGTTTTTCCGTATATCGCACAACCATGCACTAGTTTATTTGTAACATGTATGCTCTTCAATTATTTAGGATGCATCTATATATATATATATATATATATA